ACCACCACCACCTTGTGAGATGCAAATACTTTGGGGGGGGGGGATCATATAGGGAGCTTTGTTGACCATTTCAACATCCAAGTGAATACATATTTTATCTCCAAAGAGTAGGGTTGGATATAGAGGGAGAAACTAATTATTTTACTAGATTTGGAGATGGACCCTCAGTGGCAAGGCTGGAAGAGCTGACGTGAAGGCTGCAGAGGCCCCGTTTTCCCTGAGGGTATATCAATGAGGTCTCCTGGGCCAGCTGTGGGCCATCATCCATGTACCCAGGGGCTGTGAGAGGCGATCATTCTAGGTGCATTCTAGGAGAGGGGAGAAGGAAATGGATTGAAGTATTGTGTTGAGGGGTCAAATCTGGTCTTTTAATCTATACCCCTCTGCACCCACAGTCTGGGGACATTGGAGTGAAGATGTGATTCTTGTCTGGAGTTGTTACACATACTCCTTCCATCCTACTTCTCAGTTAAGGAATGGCATTATATCTAAATGTAGTGGATGGCTTGTACAAGCCATAACTTCATGGCCCAGGAATATGTTCCCACTTCCCAAACGTCTCAACGAAATAATCAGAACCCACAACGTCACCACTAAGACCATTTCCTTAAGACAGCCTATGTCAAAAACAAGCTATCAGATTGACTGACGTGAAGTAGTATAGACAAAGTGGAGACCCAAAACCACCTGTAAGATAATTGGACAGTCCCTCACAGAAGAGCCATACGGAAGGGATGATATATCCAGGGTGTGGTATAGCACTAATGAAACACATAAATATCCTCTCGTTCTTTAATATTTCCTCCCCTTACTATTATGGTCTTATTTCCACCTCAGGAATCTTGTGAGACCTGTGTATGTTCATTTATATAATTAAGGTAGTTCGATGCATGAAATCCAAGATAGATAAACCCTTCAGAAATAGTAATGGGAGTAAGAATTCCCTGAGGGTACAGGAAGAGGTGGGGGAGGGGGAATCGATAACAATGATGACGGTATAACCCCACTCTAGGGGAGCAAATAACAGAATTGTAGGTGAACAGATACATTGGATGGCGTAGAATATGGGGGAACTAATACAATAATAAGGGTTCCTGGGGGATAGGGTGGGGGAGAGAGGGGATAAAGGGGAGCTAATATCAAAGAGTTCAAGAAGAAAGAAAATGTTTTGAAAATGATGGTGGCAGCAATTGTACAATTATGCTGGAATTAATTGAATTAAGGATTGTTATAATATCTGCAAGACATAAAGTTATTTATAGCTCCCAATAAAATTATTTTTTAAAGAAAGGTAGCCCTTGTCCCTTCTCTAAATTCAGAAGGCGTTAGTAAGGGGGCACGGTTACGTGCTATTGACTACTCACCCCCAGGCTTCTTTGCTGAGCGGTTCTGGTACAGAAACAATAGTGAGCGTGTAACAACTAAAACGGGAGGGAAGCGCACAGACATGGAGCAGGGTGGAGAGAATGTGGAGCCGCGTCTGCCGAGGTGACATGCCACTCCCCACCAACCAAGCCCTGCCCTAATTGGACGGTTTCTACTGTGCAAAAGGGGGTCTTGAATTGTGAACTCACTGCTCATGTGGCCTAGAGAGAAACCCACTCCCCCCAAAAACATATATATATATATTCTATAATGGTTCTATAGTGGTTCGTGAGAGGCTCATTCTAGGAAATGTCAAGGCTAGCTCCACTGAGGTAGCTGGGAGCTCTGTAAAGAAGGAGAATACATTTCTTCATTATTGTTGTTTTCCACAAGCCGGCGTCGTTAGAGGCAGTGCACAGTTGACATCGGCTGAACTTAATTTATTGAATAGGAAAAACAAATCCTATGAAAATGAAAATGAAATCGCTTCCTAACCTGCTCAGTGTTATTTTTCAAGAATTTTCATTGTGAAGTGGGGGAAGGAGGACAGAGCAGGGCATCCGTTTAAATTCAACGATTCACACACAGTTTCATCTCCTTCACTGCTGTCTCCTCAATGTAAGATCACCTGTGGTCCCTCCTCCCCATGTTTCCTGTCTCCAACCCTCCTTCTTTCCTGATCCTCCTGAACTCTGCCCGTGAGTAAATGTCGCCCATCAATCCCCAGCGGTCGATCACTCTGTAAGGTGTGCAGACCTCAGTGGTGTTACTGTTCCCCTTTAGACCTGTCTATTGTTTGGCTGAAAATGGAGCCCCGGGGGTGAGTCTGGTTTCAGACTCAAAGGGTGACCAAGGGCCATCGTCTTGAAGGCTCCCTCAGTTCTTATCTCTCCAGCAAGCTCAGTCTCTTTCATGATCTTGAGTTTGTCCCACATTTCTCGTCCACTCTGTCCAGGACCTTCTAATTCAAGCCCTTGGGTGTCCACTGGGGTGTGGTGGCTGGGCACCATCTCGTTGTTCTCTCCTCGGGCTTGAGACCACTAGACTGATGTTCATGCGACCCATTCGTCCATTGGATTGATTGGAGAAACCCACCCTGGAGACATTCATTCACCTATAGTCCACGTATCTCTTCATTCTGTTCACACTTACTGACCACGTACCGTGGCCTAGCTCCTGGCTGATCAAACCCCAGTGTCAACTCTTGTCGTGCTGCCAAGGGCAGGATCTGTCCTAACGCCAGGTCATGAGTTCTGGCAGGGAGCGCGGATGAGCGACAGGGGTAGCAATTTTTCATTTCTTCCTCTTCCTTGGCGTTTCTTTTCAATTGTCAAAAACTACTTTCAAATATACACAACAATAGAATGATGTCGTGAACTCCCAGATGCCCACCACCTGGCTCCAACTCTCTTGTGAGCATTCTTATTCATGTGAATAATCTGTGTGATCCAGTCCTGCCCCAACTTTTTGGATGGAACCGTTTTGAATGCAAGTGGAAGGTGCCGTGAATTTCCCCCATCAGTACTTCAGGGTGCATCTCTGAGAGGAGCATTTGGTAACAACCACCACAGCAGCAGTGTATGGCCCCCGCAGCAGTAGCTGCTCTTGCCCTGGTCCCCGGGGACCTCACCAATCGCCTTCTATCGACCACTAGGAGACTCACCAAAGGTGGAGCACCTCTCTCGAACTTGATTTTCTTACATGCTAGGAGTTTACAGAAGTGAGCCCCCCTACCCCTCCCAGATCCTTCCAGCTGTGTAATCTGGCTCCAGACCACAGTCTGTCCAGGTGATCCCTCCTCCCCCATACTGATTGATGTCCATGACTCCTTACCCATGGGAGCTCTTTTTCTCGCCTCCCCCTGCCCTGTCTTGTTGCAGATTGAAATGCTAGAACACAAGTACGGGGGCCACCTGGTGTCCCGGCGCGCCGCCTGCACCATCCAAACTGCCTTCCGCCAGTATCAGCTCAGCAAGAACTTCGAGAAGATCCGCAACTCGCTCCTGGAGAGCCGCCTGCCTCGGCGGATCTCCCTGCGCAAGATGCGGGCGCCCACCGCCGAGAGCCTGGCGGCGGAGAAGGCGCTCATGGAGGGCTACGGCCTCATGGGGCTGCCGCTGGTGCGCTCGCCCTCCCTGCCGCCCGCCTTGGCGGGCACGCTCACCGAGCTGGAGGACTCCTTCACGGAGCAGGTGCAGTCCCTGGCCAAGTCCATCGACGACGCGCTCAGCACCTGGAGCCTCAAGACCATGTGCTCCCTGCAGGAGAGCGGCGCCTACCAGCTCCACCAGGCGCTGCACGCGGGCGCGGGGCCGCCCGGCCTGGAGGCCGAGCTCCTCCGGGAGGCCGAGGGCGCCGGCCCGGGGCTGGCCGAGGGGGCCGCTGAGGCCGCCGGCCTGCCCCCGGGCCACAGCGGGACGCTCATGATGGCTTTCCGGGACGTCACCGTGCAGTTCGCCAACCAGAACATCTCCGTCTCCTCCTCCACCGCGCTGTCGGTGGCCAACTGCCTGGGCGCGCAGACCGCGCCGGCGGCCAGCTCGGAGCCCGCGGCCGGCAGCGGTGAGCCGGGTCAGGCCGGCGAGCAGGGGGCCTCTGCGGTCCCAGCCGAACACCCGTGTGCCGAGGCAGAGGCGGGGCCAGCCGGGGGCCTGCTCGCCGCCGACCGCTCGGAGACAACCGAGGCCGGGCTGGAGGAGGCAGAGGAGGGCGAAGTGGGGAAAGGGACGGAGGTCGAGGCCGAGGCTGGCGACAACTCCGAGCAGCTAAGCAGCAGCAGCACGTCCACTAAGTCAGCCAAGTCCGGCTCGGAGGTGTCGGCCATGGCCTCCAAGGAGGCCCTGCAGGCCATGATCCTGAGCCTGCCGCGCTACCACTGCGAGAACCCTGCCAGTTGCCAGTCGCCCACGCTCTCCACCGACACCCTGCGCAAGCGGCTCTACCGCATCGGCCTCAACCTCTTCAACATGTAAGTGTGTGTGTGGGGGGGGGATGAGGGAGGGACCTCTTTTTACCAACCAACTACATGCTCCCTGAATTCATGTAGAGCTGTGACCTTTGGAAGGGGAGCAGCAGCCCTCATTCTGTGGTACTTGTGGGTGGTTTCAAACCACCAAACTTTTAGGAACCTACTCCTCACCAGGCTGGGTTCTAGGTCAAAAGGGGCATCACCCCAGTAACCTGGCGGGTGGCATTTGTGCTACACCTGGTCTCTGAGATCGTGTTTAAGAAGTACACGTTTTAAAATGTTTATTGAAATAATAATAATGTTTTCAGTGAAGAACTCCACAGCTGCTTAGGTTCCCACTCAACAACTATTAGAGACAAGAGTGTACACAGGTGGTGCCAAGCAGAGGCAGCATGCAGACCCCATCCTATTGACACATAAAGTACCAGAAGCACTCATCTTCACACACACACACACACACACACACACACACACACACACACACACTACCCCCAGAACCCTAAGACAAGAAGTACCACAGCTCTCCTGTCCACAGCGGTGCTCCATGGATTCATTCCACTGAAAGTTCCTGAATGCCCACAAAGATGAGCGAGACACATCCGGTGGTTGCCAGAAGCTTCCATTCCAGGGGACTAGCTGCCATGCATAGCATAAGTCAGCTGCAATCTTTTCAGCAATATCTAGCAATGCTGTTGGCTGCTTCGAGTGGATTCCAGCTCGTTGTGACCCCGTGTGACAGAGCAGAAATGTACCATTGGGTTTTCCTGGCTGTCACCTTTATGGAAGCGGATCACTGGGTCTTTTTCCTGAGGGGTGGATGGGTGGGTTCGAACCACCGACTTTTCAGTTTGCAGCTGAGCCCTTGGCTGCTGTGCCACCAGAGCTCCTTACCCACAACTAAACGAACAAACTCACTGCCCCCAAGCCCATTCAGACTCACAGTGAGCCTATTGGTCAGAGCCGACTGGCCCTGTGGGTGTCTGAGGCTGTGAACCATGAAGGGGGCAGAGAGCCCCATCTTTCTCCCAGCGAGGGACAGGTGGGTTTGAACTGCCAATCTTCCTGTTAGTAGCCCAACTTGTAACTCACTCTACTACCAGGGCGCCTCCCTAGACGTTACTGAACTATTTTTCGGAAAAGGAGGCGGGTTTCACTCAAATAAGGAGACCGTCACACGATGAAACAGCGAGTAAGTGGCAGGGTTCCTGGAAGCCACAGCCACTGTTTGCCCTGGTATGCACAACCCCCCAACCCGTCTCCAATCCACAGCAGTACGACTGCGTGCCCACAAATGCGCACACACAAACTCGAATCCCTCAAGACAGCTATGCTCAGACGGTCTGGAGTGAAAGACCAGTTTGTTTCCCCCCAATAGGTTTCAGGCTGGCACTTTTGGAAAACTCAGGAAAAAAATGAAATACTAGAAAAACAATCACATGCTTGGCTGTCCGCAAAATGCCAAGTGCTATAAAAGGTTCTAGACGCTTATGCTCAATTTCTGTACTTTCCTCCTTTGCACGAGTAAGACCGCTGAGGGAGTAGCGTGGATCTACCGAGCACACAGTGAGAGCGCCTTTGGAGGTGGTGGAACAGCCTGGGCTCACGCTACATGTCCCTTCTCTCCCCCTGCCCCGCACCCCCAGAAACCCGGACAAGGGCATCCAGTTCCTGATCTCGCGCGGCTTCATCCCGGACACCCCGATCGGGGTGGCCCACTTCCTTCTCCAGCGGAAGGGCCTCAGCCGCCAGATGATCGGAGAGTTTCTGGGCAACAGCAAGAAGCAGTTCAACCGTGACGTGCTGGAGTGAGTGCCCTTGCGTCCCTCCTCTGGCCTCCAGAGGCGGCTCTCCCCTCCCAGGCCCGCCCCTTACCGTCCCCTGGGAGTCAGGGGTCCTCCCCAGGGAAGAAGGAATCAAAAGGAATGAGCCCAGGACCCGGGAAGTTTGGGCGATCTCCCAGAAAACTTGGCGGTAGCGCCAGCAGTTTCCTGATTGGCTAGGGATGACAGACTGACTATCGCATGGCCTGATGAGCCTTGGTTTCCCTCGTCAGCCAAGAGGTAGAAAGCGCGAATACAAAACCACTGTCATTGAGCCCTTTCTGACACATAGTGATCTTTTAGGACAAGGTAGAACTACCTCTTTACGGGAAGAGAAAACTTCAGCTTTCCACCCTGGAGCTGTTGGTGGTTTCGAACTGCTGACCTCGTGGTTAGCAGCCCAATGTGTAACCTATCACGCCAACCAAGGCGTAAAGAAATGGTCAAAGAGAACAAAAACTCGTTCCTTCTTGTCAACCCACAGGGTAAGAGGAAAAGATGGGGTGGAAAAAGGCTAGCCCCTCAGCCCACCCTCTCCCGGCCACCCACATGTCCCTAGACCCCTGAAGGCGCTGCACACTTCCCATGTAAACGTTGTTTCCATTAAGTCCGCGAACAACTTAAGACACAAGAAAAGAGGGCTGGAAGGAGACGTATTAGAACATGAAAATACTGTAACTTTATGAATCCACATTGATAAATTGACCGGCCACAATCACAGCAAAAGAAAGCCAGGGTGACTCAGCCTCCAGTGGGTCTGCCTCGCTCATTGCTTGTCGTGGATGCTCCCCTGCTGTCCGCAGCCCTGAGAACGCATGGCTCCCTCTAGCCCAGTTCACCAATGCCATCCTCCTGGGAGGCTGAGCATGCTGCCTGGAGACTCAGGCCAGGGCCACAGCCCGTGCTGGGGATGGAGTTGGGCTGAGGTCGGGACTAGCAGCTGAAGTAGGAGCCCCCAGCCAGCCCAGGGGTGATGAGGCTGGATTCCCAGCCCGAGGAGGCAGGAGGAAATGCTGGTGCTGAGTGAGGGGACCCAGATGTTCCGCCTGTGTGTGCCCGTTCGGTCCATGTTTGTTGCTTTGGGAAAGCCCTTCTTTTTTTATAAATCATTTTACTAGGTGCTCGTACAGCTTTTATCACAACCCATCCATCCATCCATCCATCCATCCATCCATCCATCCATCCATCCATCCATCCATTGTGTCAAGCACACTTGTACATATGTTGCCATCATCATTTTCAAAACATTTTCTGTCTACTTGAGCCCTTAGTATCAGCTCCTCATTTTTTCCTTCCCTCCTTTCCTCCCTCATGAACCCTTGATAATGCATAAATTATTTTTTTTTCATGTCTTACACCGACTGCTGTCTCCATTCACCCACTTTTCTGTTGTCTATACCCCTGGGAGGGGGTTATAGATAGATCATTGTGTTCGGTTCCCCCTTTCTTCCCCCACCTTCCCCTTCCCCTCTTGATATGGCTACTCTCAATATTGGTCCTGAGGTTTATCTGTCCTGGATTCCCTGTGTTTCCAGCTCTTATCTGTACCAGTGTACTTGCTCTTGTCTAGCCGCATTTGTCAGGTAGAATTGGGGTCATGACAGTGGGGGAGAGGAAGCATTAAAGAACTAGAGTAGAGTTGTATGTTTCATAGGTGCTATGCTACACCCTGGCTGTGGAAAGCCCTTTCTGTAAGGCCGTGGTTTGCTCATCTGCAGTGAGCGGCTTGGGCTGTATGATCTCAGAGGCCCCCCAGGGCCACAGACTTGTGGCCTTTCCTGTTCTTCAGGGCACTGTTGCCCACTGGCACCAGGCAGAGTCACCCAGCCCCAGGCCCAGGGCTCTGTTTTCTCACCCTGCAGTCCTTAGCCTTCAGGACCACTCTGGAAGTCATGCAAGAGCCAGGTGGCGATTACCTAATCAACAAGGTAAGCACGGGTTTACATGTGTTTGCTTACAAGTCTGTAGTGAACAACTTCAGATGGGTTTGAACAGCTTCCTGTGCTTGCCTTGCTCTCTGGGCACTCTGCCCCTGTCACGGATGGTCCATTTGAAAGGGGGCTTTGATTCTGCAGGAAGGTGCTGTGGGCTTGGGAGAGAGACAGATGCCAGCCATCCTGAAAAGCTGGATCTCGGATGTGGTGGAAAAAAAGGTGGAATAGTTCACCGTAGATTCATCAGTAAGCACACATAAGCCCACGCTTTCCTTGCTTATTAGGTAGTTCAGCACTACCATTCATCATTCATTCAGCAAACACTGAATGCTCACGGTGTGTTGAAGTGGGCTGGGCTGGCATCCGTGCAGGGGGTTGGGCTTTTGCTGATGGCTTTTGGGAGCTTATGGACCCAGGCCTCCATGGTAAGAGACAGTGAGGCGGAGCTTGAGAAGAGAGAGTCCCTCCAGTTGTACTCTGGGTTTGGGGAGGTTCATGTGCACAGTGGAGTCCTGCCTCTGCCCTGGTGAATGTATCGGTCCCTCCTGCTTTGTTCTGCAGCCAACCAAGGCCCCTGGGTCCTGAAGCCCTGGCTCAGGCAGCCAGCCTACACACTGACTCAGCTCCACAGAGGAGCCCCCAGCCCCCCCCCCCAACCCCCATCTGATACCCTGACACCCCTCCTGCCTCCTGCAAAGTGCCAGGAGGAGGAGAAGCCCAGCCCAGCAGGGGAGCCAGGACAGCAGGGTTCTCAGCATTTCCTTGCTGTCCCAGCCAGGAGCCTCCCAGGATCCACTGCCCCTTCCCGACTCCCACAGGACAAAGCCACACAGCCACAGAGGCGCTCCTTGTCATCCTGCCCAGGCCTGGAAGGCTTCATTGGGATTCTGCACAGCTCCCCTGCCCCCACCCGGTGACATTCAGCAAGTCGCCTCCGTTCAGTACAAAGCTGTTTGCCGAATAAAAGGACATAAATCACCCATTCCCTTGGAGACTGAGACAGCCCAAACCACAGCATGCTTCTTCAAGAAGCAGTCAGACTCGGAAGGGTGGAGGAGGGACGCCTCCATGGGGGGAAGGCGCATGACCCGCTCCACTCTTGGGCCTCAGCGGGGAAGGCAGAGGAAGGAGGAGGGCGTGGAGCAGAATGGGCTGCTCCCTGGTGTCTGAGCATCCTGGCACCCTTGCAGGCTGACATCTCCATCCCTCTGTGCCCTGTGTGCACAGGAGGCGACTGGTCCAAGAGTGCTTTCAGCCGAGCTTCAGAACATCATGATGAAAGGCCTTCTGGACTTGGAGGGCCATTCATACCCCAGCGTTAATGTGAGAGGGTTGCTTTTCATGGGGGGGGGTTTGGGGAGAAACTAGCCTCTGGGTTCTCATTTTTAAGGTGGTGAGAATATCATTTAGGGACATACCCATAGGGTGCTTCACGCAGTGCCTGGCTCTTTGTCAACAGAAAGCACACCAGCAACAACGAAAAACCCCAGTGGTTCTGGCCTGTGGAGGCCTCAGCTCACAAGTAGGACAGCTCTCCCAGGCCTGACCTATCAGAAGCAGATGGTCAAGGCTTTCTCCCAAGGGGCCCTGGGTGGGTTTGAACTGCCAATCTTCCCATGAGTAGGGCAACACTTAAACATGTGTGTCACTTGGGGATTCCTGGCACTGTACATGTTTTTGGAAATGATCACTACTGTGTCATAATCTTGTCCGCTTGAAAACCCAAGGTCCCCCACCCCCCAGTGCTCACACAGACACACCTTAAAGGTCTCGGTCTGGTTTGGGGTGGGCTCTGTCAGCAGATAAGGACTGGATGGGAAAGGAGTGTAGCTCTTCCTGGGGCCATCCTCTTACCAGGGAGAGGAGGGCAGTGGGAGCGGCCCTCGGGGGCGGGAAACATCTCCCTCTCGGTTTCACGTGGCTAGGAAATTTGGCTCTGCTCTATTTCCCTCCCGAAACGTCCGCTTCAGCAGGCTGGAAGGTCAGCGGGTAGGGCCGGGTTCCACGCTGACGGCTGGTAGGCTCTTTTTGGGCCCAAAGTGACATTTCCCCATGTGAATCACACACGCATACTGTGCCATCAGCGTCTGCCACTTCCCCAGGGACTCATGGAAGGCGCCTGTGGGCTGAGCTGCCCGGAGAAGTGTTCCAGGTGTTTCTCTCCCTCCCATGGTGTCTTCTGATCCTCTGTGACATCCTGGAGCCTGTGAGAGTGTGACGTCTCCTGCAGAGTGCGTCACTGCATTCCCATGGAGCTGTGTTGGTCAGAGGGTAGCAGGCTTGTTCTGCTCCGGGGACATTAAGAAATGAAGACAGATGGTCTGTAAGACTCAACAACGGGCTGGAAGATGCTGGCCTTTCATCATCGGGACAAACGTACGGGAGAATGTCCTGCTCATGATGCCAGGCCCCCTCTTGGAACGGCGCTCATGCCCAAGGGGTTCCCAGGAGGCAGGGGAGGGCAGGGCAGAGTAGGCTTGGGGGTCCACATGGACCCCCCCTAGGTCAGGAGGATGGCAGAAAGAGGCCCCGTGCTGAACGTGGACAGAAAATTGGGGAGCAGTTCCCATTGCAGCGAACACTGTGCATGGCCACATGTGAAGGCATGTGAGACACATCTTTGAGTTCATGGCCTTGACCCTCTACATCTCTTATCTCTTCCCCCCTACCCCCACCCCTGCCGAGAGTCTCCTCATCAGCAAACGGTCTCCTCTGTGCGGAGCTTGGCATCCCGAGTGTGAGGTGGGCACGTCGAGGGCAGAGACTCCTTTCAGCTTGGGCCGTGTTGCATAGGAATCAGGCCTGAGCCCCCAGGATGAGCGTGCCTGCCCCTTCCCCAGTTCCTTTCCCCAGGCCCCAGCCCTGGGACCATCTCGCTGGGTGAGGAAGCTCACATTGATCACGTGGCGTCAACCGTGTGCCAGTCGGCACCATTCCAGGGGTCTTTGCGTGCAAACCCTCATTCCAGCTTCTCAGCAGTTCTGTGAGGTCAGTGGGACTCACCTGTGCCATCCGGCAGACGAAGGAACTGAGACACGGAGACGAAGGAGC